CTCCCAGAATTCTGGGAGTTGAAGTCCACTCATCTTAAAGTGGCCAAGTTTGGACAACATTGTTCAAGAGATTTGGATGGCCTCAACCCTGCTGACCTTCTATAAGGCCCTGAAACCCCCCGAGGCTCAGGCCAGTGTACGATGATCCCATCCAGAAATGAAAGAGCGGGATACGTGACAGTTCACCTTGGTTATCTTATTTTCTGTTCTGGGTGTTTGTTGTGTTTTATTTTTAGTTATGGTTGGTCATACAGTCAGCCAGATGTTTAAACTGGATTTGGCATGTTTATCCACCTATCGAGTCCTTCCCAAGGACATGGGTTTTTAGTTGTTATTATTATTATATTTTTATCCCACCTTTTTGTATATATTTATATAGCTCAAGGCAGAGAATATACCTAATACTCCTCCCTCCTCCTACTTTCCCCACAACAACAACCCTGTGAGGTGAGTTGGGCTGAGAGAGAGTGACTGGCTCAAAGTCACCCAGCCGGCTTTTGTGACTAAGGGAGGCCTAGAACTCACAGCCTCCTGGTTTCTAGCCCAGCGCCTTACTCACTACACCAAACTGGCTCTCAGTTTGTTTTGTTCTCTTCCTTTGTTTTATGTTTCCAACCAATTGTAAACTGTCCAAAGTAATTTTTGTGAGTTGGGCAACCATTTAAATCAAATAAATATATGGTGGAAGGAAAGAGCACTGTCTAGAATAAAGCTAATGGAGAGGAATTTTCTATGAATACACATCTCCTATGTTTTAAAGTGATAAAGTCCCTCCATTACTGAAAATAGCAAACACATAGCACTGTTTGTAACCTACAGTATTTCAGGAAGTAAGATGAAGCCCCTGTCCCCTTACAAAAAACCAACGTTGTTTTACTTCTAATCTTATTACTTGCTTTGAGTTATAAAAGCCAGTTATTTGGCCTTGGGTTTTTGGTCAGAGACCAGGTCAAAACACCAAGGATAAATAAATGATATTGGCATCAGAAGTACACATGATAAGTTTAGGTAAATAACTCACTACAAAGGGGATCTCTGGTTTGTATTACCTGCCTGAAGTGGTTGTTCATAATATGAAATCTCCAGATTGAAATTCTGTTTCAAAGGGCATAACGAAGAAAACAAGGAAAACGAAACAGCTATTATATGAATCAACATATTTAAGGCTGCTTTCTTTATGTTCCTGATGCATTTTCTCAAGAGATACTCTGAAACAGTGTTTTTTAGCCTTGGCGACTTTAAGATGTAAAAACTGCTCTAAAATGTAACAAACCAGTCAGAAAGCCTATTCCTTACGTTACTTCAGTGTTTTTCAACCTTGGCAACTCTAAGATGTGTGGATTTCAACTCTTACGATTCCTTGGCCAGCACGCCAAGTTGAAGTCCATACATTTGTTTTGTTTTCTCTGACCAAAAACCCAAAGCCAAATAACTCACTTTTATAACTTCAAAGCAAGTAATAAGATTAGAAGTAAAACAATGTTGGTTTATTGTAAGGGGCCAGGGGTTTCATCTTACTTGGTGACTTTAAAATGACTTTAAGAATCAACATGTTTAAGTCTGCTTTATTTATGTTCCTGATGCATTTCAAACAGTCACATTATTTTCAGGACATATTCTAAAACAGTGTTTTTTAGCCTTGGTGACTTTAAGATGTATGAACTTCAACTTCCAGAATTCCCCAGCCAGCATGCTGACCAAGGAATCCTGGGAGTTGAAATCCATACATCTTAAAGTTACCAAGGTTGAAAAACACTGGTCTAAAATGTAACACACTGATCAGAAAGTCTATTCCTTACGTTACTTCAGTGTTGTAGTCCAGTACTCCAAAAAAATTCACTGCATGCAGGCCAGGGAATCCTAGGAGTTGAAGTCCACACATCTTAAAGTTGCCAAGTTTGAAAAATGCTGGGTTAACTTTGTTTTGCTTTCCTTGTGTTGACTATTGTTACAGTGGTTTTGATTCTTATTGGGTGTTGTTCAAATTTAGCCTCTCCAACTGAAATATCCATGTTATTATTCACCTGGCTGTGTACATCTTGCATACAAAACACTTTTTAGTCCATAGCCAATGTTTCTTGGTTAATAAGGGATAGAGACTTCTGTCCAGACAGTCATCTCGATGAATAAGCCTTGCAAGATAAAAGATTAAGAAAGAGATTGATTAGACTAAATAACTACAATGAAAGAGAAAGAGAGACAGGCACCATTATAATAATGGATAGTATTTGTTTCAAGGCAACCAAGGCTACAGAGTAAGCATACATCTATCAATTAGAGAAAACCAATATCTAAAGAAAGGAACAAGGAGCTACAGAAGTGAAGCAGGAAGAAAGAATCTGCATTCTCTCCAAATACCTCCCCACACGCAAATTAGCCTGCACAAACTGAACATGGTCAGTAAACCTGGAATGGCGAGGTAGGTGGGGAAGAGATGAAAGTTCATGGATCCCCAGAGTATCAGCTGACAAAGCATAATTATAGATGATAACCCCTTTGCACTGCTAACATGTGAAAAAAGAATTGCAACATAAAGAATCCCAAATTCCAAACAGTTTCCCTCTTAACAGAGAGACTGCAAAGAAATATTAGCTCACCTGATATCTGTGATAATAACAATGTGCTCACAGTCTCCTTGATGACAATAAAGGTATGGGAAACCTATTTTTATGTTCAAATCATTAAAGGTATAGTCTTCCATTTTAGCAGCCTGAAGATTTCCATAACCTCGGTCACGGGATTCTGCCCACTCAATAATTGTCCTGAAATTAGCAGAAACAATATTTCCATTCCCTAAATTAATTATTTCTTTCGCTATAGCAATCATCAAAGAAAACATGTCAAGAAACCAGGTATCCAAGCTAGAATTTGAACATGTTCTTAACAACCACAAAAACATTTTATCTTGGCATGCTGGGCAAGATCTAAATTTAGCCCTAGAGCATGATCCACGGAACTACAAACAGATCAGGTAGAAAAAAGCATGTTACAGTTAAGGTGTTGATACCACTGCCTTAAGAGCAGAGCTAACATTATCAGATAGGACACTAACTTTTACAAAGAATAGTGGGATCTCTTCAAATCCCTGCAATTTTAGTAAGAGACAGCCTGCTCAGAGCCACGAGGCAACTGCTGATGCATTTAGACATGCAGCAAATTCCAGCTTGAAGTTTGCAGCTGTCAGGTGATAGCTCCCAGAACTTCTGACTACCGGAGTGCAGCAATATTTGCAGACCAAAGGCTGGGAACCAAGGCCAGAACTAGAAATTCTTTTGAAGAAAAAAAACATAAGCTGAAGAGCATTTGGAGAATAAAATTAGTGGGCAGAAGAATGATGCTTAATCCACCTGCTCCCTAATTTTGCTCTGCAATCCTACCCTCACCATTTTAAAAGCCCTGTCTCCAAGGGTCAAGCTCCAAAATCAAGAGATCTGGGTTAGTAGAAAGAAGGAGTTTCGCTCGACTAAAAGTGCTTCTTCCCTGCTCTCCAACTTTACATGTCATCTGTTAAGTCAGCATCTGGATGTACCCTAACATGGAAATGTCCCACTCACAGGTCACTTCTCAGGTCAGTAATTCAACCATGCAATTGCAGCTAACTTCCTGGAGAGGCATTCTAGGTTAGTAAGACTGGGATTCACACATGGCAATAATTCTTTACCTGCTCAAGTCTCTGCATTCAGCATACCTGCTGTCATTATAAAAAACACCTTCAAAATAAAAGAAGGCAGATTTATAGAGATCCTGGGGAAAAGGAAGAAAGATAAAGAAAGAAAAAAGCATTACTTTGCTAATCAGAATACATAGAATATCACATCTCCATGTGCTCCAGTTAAATTTTTGAAATGCCAACTAAACTCATCATTATAGCAATATTTGATGCATCAGTAGCTTGAAGTTATAGCAATAGCCTGATGCGTTTTACGGAAAAGGCTAGACTCTACAGAAGGTTTACAGAGTCTAGCCCTTTCCTTAAAATGCCTCAAGATGATGTTAACCTTACCACTATATCAGTCAACAGTGGGACCATATTGGATGTATGATAGAAGCAGAAAGACACATCATCCAACAGGTCCTCCAGAATAACTCTTGGGTCGAAATTGGCAACTACAGAGAAAGGGAATGAGGAGGATATTGCTCAGACTCAGGACAATTTTGTTAGAAGAAAAGGGTAACCCATATATCAGGCACTATCTCTCCTCTGGTTAGCTAATCCTAAAGTCTGACACTTACAGACTATTAAAGCCCTGAGATACATTACCAACAGCAATCCCCATCCTTAGTAATCTCATTCCCAGTACTAAACAGACTAAATAATATACACACAACTAATACGACTTGGAAAACCTATGATTACTACGCAGAAATGGATATGTTTGTTTTTTCCCCCAACCTATCCATAAATAGATTCACAAAATATACTAGTTCTCTGCTCAGAGTAGTAACTTCATGGATGATCCATGTTGTTTCCTTGGCTTTCTCCTGGCATGTTATTTTGATTTCCAACTTTATTCCACAGTTCTGAGATTTTCTGGTAGTCTCTAATCCAAGCAGAACTATATTTAGCATCGGAGTGGTTCTCATAGCTTTCCATTCATAAAGCTATTTCTACAACTGTGCAGAAATAGCTATTCCTCCAACTATTTAGAATCCAACACACCACTCATTCAAATTAGAAGACATCCAATCTACCTGTCTCCATCAACATGCTACAATTTGGCACTTGTCTGGCAAATTGGTGATTTTTATGAATTTAACCAAGTAATACATATCTTTCCTGCACAGAGCATGCATGTCATATTTTCTCTTTCCCCTCCATTAAATGCTATCGTAGTCCCAAAACACTACAAAAATATCATTTCATTTCTAGATAGGGGTAAGCATTTTATACAGAAATACAATTTGTCTACAAAGACAGCATTTTACTGATATGTATCAGCACATTACCAATGGACATAACCTTTCTCCAGCAGCTGAAAAAAAAAGTTCATTATTTATACTGCAAGCCAAGACACTACAGTAAGGTAGCTTGTTTTTTCTTTTTAATATACAAAAGAATTCTCTGTAAACCGAATCATGTGCCTAACAAAGTCACAAGTGACTGAAACCACTATAATTATCACCACAATTGCATTCCCACTGTTATCCTTGTGTTGCTTCTTCCAGCAAATAACAGCCTAAGGAGAGCTTTCATTAAACAACACCAGCTTAAAAGGTATTTGGCATAGTTATTAATGCTTCTCCATGCTTTCTCAGCCATGACATTTAGAACATGGGTATCTCTGACCTAACATTTTAAATGGGCACCAGAAGTGTAAAGTTTTAGTGCCACAAACGCATACTGGCAAACTATGAAGACTGATCCCCCCCAGTTTTTTCTTTGCTTTTTCATTGTCACTGAAATATGACCAGAGTTAGAGAAAACCACCCCCCACTATGAAATGTTCTTTCTTTAAATTAATAAAATGCATTTTAATTCACTCAAAATGGCCATTTATTCATTTACTTTGGCCTGTGGGCCACTTCAATCACAGCCAGATCTAAGCTGCAAACACTCCACATTTGCAACCTGCATCTTAATGCAAGATAAAAACATTCTCTCAGTAAATCAGCCACTGCCTGCAGGCCATTTATATTTCACTCTGAAGGCTTCCCGGAACAGTCAAATCTTAATGGCTGCCTCCATTTCACTAGTAGGAAGACTGTTATGAAAGGAAATGTGTTGGAGAATCCTTCCACTCCATCTTGTAGCTAGCAAGAAACTTGCAGCTCTTGAACAACTTGACCACAGCTCCTCACAAGTGGTTAAGCCCCCACACACTCCCATCATCCCCACCATGGGGATAGGGGTGAGTATGAACATGGGCATATATGTATCTCTCTGTAGAAAAATGTCTGGAGAAGGGGTGGGGATGCTGGCCTTTGGCCACTGCCACCACTATGGGCTGCACTCTGTGGGGCAGACAAGCAGCTCACTCCTGTTGCTAAAAGTGGCTGTATGAGAAGACAAGATGGGATCTTTCTTGCCCTCAACACCACTTGCCTTCTAGGAATCTTTGCTCCAGTCTGGAGATGACGAATATATGCTTCTAATGGTTGGTCTCCTTTTGACCTGATCCTTATCTTACAACTGTCACATTCCCTCAGAAGAGACGGAGACAGACTCCCCGCTACAAAGTGAGAAATAAGCAGCATGTTGGCCTGCTTTTATAGAAAACCAGGAGGAACTGGCACAGAAAATCCCAAGAAACTGCCTTCCAAGCAAGCCACCTTAAGACTGCTCTGTGTATTTCAAATCCACCAGATAGTATTGTTTTTAATTCAACAAAATTACGCTTGATACATTTTTTTTTTGTAAAAACAGGTTTTATATGAAAATAATTATTACATATATGTCAATATTTAAATACGCTCAATATAAAAAACATATCAAAGTAATGGATAGCTTTTTTTTAATGGGAAATTACTCCCTTTCAAGATTCCTCACAGATATATAACAAGGAAGAAGTTGACCTGATTAAAACTTGATAGTAAACTGACTCTCTCTCTTAGATATGCAGCAGTCACCTTAATTTATCATGATGGCTTAATCCTTAGCTTTTTTTACATTTTCAGTTTTCTTCTGCACTTCCCTGAGAACTCTAGATATTAGGCAATCTAAAACTATAATTCATAAATAGAAAAATAAAAAGGCTAGCTTAAAAACATAAAAAGTCCACTTAGTTCCCACTTATATTCAATTCAACTAGTTATTACTTGCTCAAATGAAGAAAAAAGAACCTGTAGAAACAACCTTGTTTGTTTTCCCCAGGAGTAGATAAGCATATTTTCAAAGGATCAGTAATTCAAACTTTAAGAAACTGTTTTAGAATTAAATTTCCCTCTTTGGGAATGCATTAGAAATCAATGTTATTATACCTTGCTGATATTTTCTGGGGCCTGATCAGGGTGATTGCTGAACTCCCCACCAATCTGAAGGTCACTAACACAGGAAATGCGATCTCGGAGCTCGGTAAGTTTTTGGGTCCCTAGGACCAACAGCGTCTGATACGGCTTTCGGAGCTTATGCTATAAAACAGAGATAGAGAGGGCAAGGGATGATCAATCAAAACATTTGTGATTGGCTGAATTCACGCATCAGGCTAAGTCAAAATGTAATCTGTGTAGTTGTAGTTTAGCAAGTTGAAACCAGCCATTCAACCTGCTGCAAGGAATGTAACCAGTCAACTCTTTCATTGCTTCTCCATATCTAGATGTATAATAGACAATACTGCCTTTGCTTTAAGCTGTTCCTTGCAGGAAGCGAAGAGTAAATATCATCCAAGTTGGAGAATTACCACATATGAGATTTATATCATAAAGACTACCAGATCTGAACTGCCCAAATCCAGGAGATCTCTTTGCTGCTGTCTAGCAACCATCTGGATTCTGGCAGCCCACATCTAGCAGCCCTAATGCCATCCTTAACTGAAGAATACATTTGGATACAAACAGTACAAAGAAAGTTTATCAAGCTGGGTTCCTATCATAATGTACTTCATTTGGCGTTAGCCCGGCATATTGTGCAAACCTATTCAACTGTAATTTACTCATCAACCCACAGTTAAATAAACAATAGCTTGGTGTGAGGTGTGATTTAGTTACAGAATCAGTTCATTAGTCCAGATAACTCAGTAGGTCTCTATATTGATTGGCAACAGGGTTTCAAATAGGAGTCCCTCCTTCTCTACCTCAGAATGCCAAAAACTGGACCTGGGATTTTCTGCATGCATAGAGGATACTCAGCTTTCCTGTATTCTGTAAATCTGTATTCATGTCTAAGGGAGGATACAGAAGCCATGTTCAACTGCAGTCCCAGACAGGCCACTGAACTGTGAAAGGAATCTAGGATTGTAGATTCCATTTTGTCAAGGAAATGTTGCAAAACTTCAGTACGCTATAATTTCCCACACAAGATTCTTCCAAATAAACTGATCTATTTGTTAAGAAGCCATTAAAATAGATGCTAAGCTTAATTACCAACCTTTTGAAATATAACTGGATAAAAAATATTGAGAGTTAAAACAAGCTCCGTTTCATCAATTAGATTCCCTGGATCTTTTGGCCTCTTTCCAATTGCATGGGATTCCTAGGAAAATAATACATTGGAATGTTAGTCTGATGTTTCCAGCAACAGAAATCAAAACACATGCATAGATACTCTATCAGCCATTCCCAATCCTTCAGAACTGTTGGGAAAGCAATTTTCAGAATTTCCTCCCAACACAGGGTGCCAGATAGGGGGAAAGGCTGTGTACTCCCATAGTTTCAGGATTCTCAATTTCTGCCTCACTTTGTTATTTATGGAAGAGTGGACTGAATGCAGCCTTCAGTGTTGTTATCATGACCATCCGTAAAGAGATGTGGAGCCAAAGAATCAATATTAGAACATGATGTAATAAGAAACAGATTACAAGAAGGATGTTCCCCAATTGCAAGGGTTATGCTGGGAAATGTTTAGCCATAGCTGATCAGTGAATGTAACAAGGGCCTTACTAGATCAAAATAAAGAGAAGGTTTATCTACCTCCCTGTTTCCCAGAGCAATCAACCAGATATTATAGTAAGTCTACTAGCTTTAGATAAATATTATCTCTACTTCTTATCTTGGAGATGGTATATACCTCAACTTCCATAAATCTATGGTCAGCAAATTCAATTGTTGAACTATGTGTGGCAAGAAGTAATGCCTCCTGTTTCATAATTCCACCCCAATTGAACCTCACTGAATGGATTTTTGTTTGCCTACTGAGAGAGGGAGAAAACATCTCCATTCACTGTTAGTTGCTAAGAACTTCATTGATCAACTTCATTACCATCAGTGGGGTGCATAATTCACTGACTTAAGTGGAGTTTATTCAGGGAAATCATGCATAAATTGGACCACTGGACCATAAATAAATATAATGTATTTATGATCCAAGACCAAGTCACAACTGTAGTCTTAACATCTAAACTGCACCATGAGAGAATGGGTTTAAGCAGATTGTCTGCCCTGTGTATTGTCATACACAGAGGGAGAATCAAGAAATTTTGAAATAAAGATGTTCCATCCTATTGGCATCTATGCTTTTTAGCATCATCATCAGTATTTCATAAATCATCAAGCGATTTTCTGCCAAATTAAATAATTGATGTAGCTGCATTTCTAAGGGCTAACTCTAGTCCAAGGAAATCCAGCTATGATTTTATCTTAACCAGCAATTCATGCATGTGTCCAAATAATGAGCTCAGCTGACCATAAATCAGACATTTCTCAAGAAATATTTACAGAAGTTTCTTTGTCCACCAGCAATCAGTATCAAGGTATGATCTCTGTCAATAATACAGTGGTACCTCGGGTTACGAACGCCTCTGCTTATGAACTTTTCGGGT